CTTGGTGATATTTTGGGTTTGGTTTAAAAATTTCGTGTTGATTACGAGTAACACGAGGGGAAGGTGGTGGGGGGTGAGTGGGCCGAATGGGCATAATGCCCCTCAATGGTGGGGGCGTGTATGAGGAATTGCATGTAGTTTGAGTGATGGGTTGGATGGGTGAATTTAAAGAATTAGAGGAAGTGGGCTGATTTGGCGAGGTGGGCCCAAAAGGAAGGTTAGTGGAATTGGGTTGATTTGTGCGCAGGGGAGAAGTGGGGTGTATTAGTGGGCTGCTAGGTGGCGGATTGGTCTGGTTTGGTGAGGGAAGCAGATCAGTCCGCGGGTAGGCCGTGTGTGTGGAGTCTGGGCCGCAGGTACCCTGCGGAGTGGGCCGATTTGTGTGGGGAGTTGGGGCTTGAGCTTGACGCCATAATGGAGAAATTAAAGGACTTGGCTCCGTATCCTTAAGAAAGGAGTAGTCAGATTTTTTAAATTGACTTAGACTATAAAACGAAAATTGAGTCTCGTCAAATGTGACATGACGGGAAATAATTATTTTTTGTGTGGAAAGGTCTAGACATTTATAACCTCTATGGTTGGCTGGATATCCTAAGAAAACACAAGGAGTGGACCTAAGAGTCAACTTGTGAGGGGCCGTAGCCGATAAATTAGGAAAACAAAGACAACCAAAGACTCGCAAATGATCATAAGACGGAGTTTTACGAAACAAAGCATAAGCGGGAGTCCCATTGGCAAGAGTTTTGGTTGGCACAATGTTAAGAAGATAGGTTGTCGTTTCTAGAGAATCTACCCAATAGGGAGGGGGAATTGAAGCATGAATAAGTAGAGTACGAGAGATGTTATTTAAGGTTCGATTCATGCGTTCGGCCTTCCCATTTTGAGATGAAGTGTGTGGACGAGAAAAACGGAAAACTAAACCATGAGTGATACAAAATAGTTTAAAAGGATCATTATCAAATTCCCTACCATGGTCACTTTGAAAGGATTTAATTGGTCGTTCAAACTGAGTGGCAACATAAGCTCTAAAATTCAAAAAATATTGAAAGGCTTGTGATTTGAATTTTAACGGAATAGTCCACACAAAATGGGTAAAGTCATCCAATAGTACTAAATAATATTTGTGACCTTGATAACTACGAATAGGTGAAGTCGACAAGTCAGCATGAATAATTTCCAAAGCAGTAGAAGTAGTACTATTGGAATTATGAAACGGTAATCGAACATGTTTTCCTAATTAACAAGAAACAAAAAAAATAGAGTCATGCTCCTTATTACATGAAATTAAATTTCTAGACCTAAGAAAGCTTAAAGTTGAATTCCCGGGATGCCCAAGACGATCATGCCAAGAGGGTGAGGTGGCAACAGTGAGTGATGTTGCAAGACAGGTGGATGGGCTAGTGTTATTGGTTACTGAATATAGGTCTCCTGAGCTATTGCATCTCGTTATTACCTTCCCCGTACGTAGATCCTTCACAGAAAAACCAAAAGGATCAAATTCAATTGAAACAGAATTATCAGAGGTGAATTTACGCACAGAGATAAGATTTTTGACAATTTGAGGTGCTAAAAGAACATCACGGAGTGCTAAGGGGGGCTTTGGGTAAGGAAAAATGGTGTGCCCATAACCTGTTCCTGGAATACGACTATCATTACCAACTAAAATATGATTATTGGTGCTCAAATTAAACAAGGGCATGAGAGTACCTGAATTGTTGGTCATATGAGATGTCGCGCCTGAGTCCACGTACCAAGAGTTGTCTTGTGGTAGGCTCATTGTGGCAAAAGAATTCCCTAACTCGGTTGGAGTCATGAGCGGCCCGTAATTTTGAGCTTGAGAAGTGGGATATGAAGCTTGATATTGCCGTGGCGGGTATTGGGCTACGTATGCGGCCCTTGGAGGCTGAAAATTGGGTCTTGGATGACTTTGGGCCTGCTGTTGAGGATATGGGAATGGGGCAGGGGCCCAATGGAATTGTTGAGGTTGTTGGACCCAAGAATTCGATTGACCCCATTGAGGGGCTTGTTGTTGAAGACTTTGTTGCTGCTAGTTGGAGTCACGCCCCCTGCCACGTCCTTTGCCCTCTTTGCCTGAGTTGTCGCGACCTCGGCCAGGACCACCGCCCTTGCCGGAGATACCCCCGCCTGGTCGCTTCTGTTGTGAAGGCTGGGAATTGGATGATGCACCTGAATTGGTGGTGGCGGGAGCAGATTGTTGTGCCACAAAATCCGTCTGATTGCCTTGGTCGTTAGAACATCTTGTCTCCTCAAGAAGGAGACGAGACCTTGCAGATTCGAACGTGGGTAATGGGTCCGTTTTCTTGATAATTGTTGCTACCGTATCGTAATTTGTGTTAACAAGCCCCGATACGAGACGAATAACAAGTTTCTGCTCCAACACCGGCTGGTCCACCGCGGCCAATTGATCCTTCAAGTTCTTTAGCTGCTGACAGTAAGAAGAAACGTCTGAAAAATTAGACAAGTGAAGGGAATTAAATTGGTTTTCAAGGTAAACAGCTCTCGTGTTCTTGTTATCTTGAAATAGAGCTTTCAACTTATTCCAGATTTTTTGAGCAGAGTCTCCACGACATAAGACGGTTTCCAAGAGATCAACTGAAATAGTGCCATATATCCATTGTTTATCAATGGAGTCGAGACGCTGCCACAAAGACTCAGAAATATCAGATGGTCTTGGAGTGTTCGGATCGATATGATCAAGAACGTTAAAAGCATGGCAATGAACTTCGAACAATTCCACCCAACTAGAATATTGCACCTTTTCCCGATCAAGAATCAAAGGAATAGCATTTTTGATGTTATTGACGGAGAGAGCCGGATGAAACTCCATTGATGGAGGAGGTGGAGGCGGTGGTGGGTGGTCACTGTCCTTAGTCATGGCTGCCTTGGTAAAAAAAGACGATTATGAGCACTGATTTCCAAAGTCAAATGCTAACAATAGAAAAATAAACAAAAAAACAAAGTGGAAGAACCAGGCTATAAAGAATTGTGGTTAATTAACCAAAGAGGAATGCGGAAGCTAAGGTCCCAAAAACGTAAAAAAAAAAAAAAAAAACCAAAAGAATTGGAGGAAAAAAATAAAACAAATTGGAATCTAAAACCTTGACTGTGATACCATGTTAGATTTCGGGAAAAACTCCTCAAGTTGGAGTGTGTACCATTGATTAATATTTATAGAGGTTTACAAGAGTCGTACTCCTATTTTTATAAGGATACGAAGTATAACAGAATATATACAAAATTATCCTAATCTGCGACAAATATTATCGTAAATATAATATCTATCACTTCTGATTTTTTCTCCAAGAAATATACCCACATCATGCGTGAAAATCATCAACAATCAACAGAAAGTATCTTTTTCCGCCAAGAGACGGATTCTTGGTAGGACCCCATATATCAGCATGGACAAGCTCTAATGGAGCTCTAGCCCTCCAAGATGAAGTTGGAAATGGTGATCTATGCATTTTGCCATAGATACAACCCTCGCAAATTTTCTTTTCATTAGTGATTGGTGGTAGCCCAATCACCATTTCTCTATTTTTTAACAGTTTTAAACTGTCAAAATTTAAATGCCCGAATCTCAAATGCCACAAGGTGGACTCATCCACTGTTGTGCTTAGGGCAATGTTTGACTCCAATTGCATTTTAAGTGAAAATATTTTATTTGGAGCCATTTTAGAGGTAGTGATTAATTGCCCCTTTTTCTTGTCATATATGTGGCATTGATTATTATAAAATTTCACCATATAGCCCTTTTGGACTAATTGGCCCACACTTAGTAAATTTTGTACCAGCCCAGGAACATAAAAAACGTCGGGGATGAATTTAGAAGAGCCATTTTTTGTTTTAACAACAATTCTTCCCTTTCCGGAAACTTCTTGATTACTCCCATCACCAAGAGTAATTTGTGATTTTATATTTTCATCAAGAGTTACAAAGAAATTTTTATTTCCGGTCTTGTGGTTGGAACAACCACTATCTATATACCATATGTCATTTTTCTCTTCTTGAGCATTTAGACAGGTATAAAATAGTTGATCATTATTTTCAGTGAAGTTGACCTCTTCTTTTTGCCGAAAATAACAATTTTTTTCAAAATGAGAGTGTCGTGTACATCTTTTGCATTTGTACCGACAATCTCTTGTATTATGGCCATTTTTCTTGCATAATATGCAAAAAGTGTTATTATCTCGTGTAGACACCCATTTGTGTCTCCCCAAAACCAAACCCAGTGATGAGTACCTTTCACGACGAATCATCACTAGTAGAAAAAGGCTTATTTGCGTCGCTCATTTATAGTGTATTTGCGTCGCTTCTATGAGCGACGCAACTGCTCGCGACGCAAATGACTTTTAAGTCATTTGCGTCGCTCCTAGGCGCGACGCAAATAAGAGTCATTTGCGTCGCTCCTTTATAAACAAGCGACGCAAATGACTTTTTTGATAAACTTATTTTTTGTCATTTGCGTCGCTCCTTTATAAATAAGCGACGCAAATGACTCTTCTGACAAACTTATTTTTTGTTATTTGCGTCACTCTTTTATAAAGGAGCGACGCAAATAACTCTTCAGATAAACTTATTTTTTGTTATTTGCGTCACTCCTTTATAAAAGAGCGACGCAAATGACTTTTCTGATAAACTTATTTTTAGTCATTTGCGTCGCCCCTTTATAAACAAGCGATGCAAATGACTCTTCAGATAAACTTTTTTTGTTATTTGCGTCGCTCCTTCATAAACAAGCGACGCAAATGACTCTTCCAATAAACTTATTTTTTGTTATTTGCGTCACTTGTTTATATAGGAGTGACGCAAATGACTGTGTAGACAATACAAAACTGCTGTATTTGCGTCACTTGTTTGTTTAATGAGTGACTCAAATGAGGTGAATTTTTTTTTTAATTATAATATAATAATTGCCTTGTATATGTTTGTAGTACCTGTTTTCCTAGGTATAAAGTAATATGCTAACGCTAATATAATTGAAATTAAAATGCAATATTATTGAATAATGCAAATGTAAATTTCGGCAGAGTCTCCTTTGTAATTTGGCCTACCCATAAAATTGGGAATGACGGCATTATATTAACAACCTGTCCAATAATTTACATCTCAATATCATAGACATTATACTCATCATCCCAACACCAATTAACCAAATTACTTCATTTCAAGCCTATAATCCAAAACAAGAGTCAAACATGCGCTAAGTGGTATATCTAAAGTTCAACATTACATATAAAATACTCTGCCCAAATATCTCGGATCTCATTTATCTCCTCCTCGGTGTACGGTGTAGTTCTTGAAAAATCCTATCAACACAACAAATATACAAGAGGAAAGTTTTAATTCAAGATTGTAGCTAACATCAAATTGTATTTATCAAACAAAAATGAAATATTTGACAACTCATACCTGAATAAGATCTTCACTGCTATGGTGATGTTCAAGTATTTCGTACATATAACGCATGACGTAGTAGCCACACTCACGTCCACCCAATTGTTGAGGACACTACATGTAATATATTTGTAAGTTGAATTAAATTGCTATACTTCAATTATTAAGAAACTAAAAGTTACGGTAAGAAATTAAGGTAACCTGTCCCAAATGCCATGTCAATTTACTTCCCCTAGATTGTCCACTTAATGCCTTAAAACTTCGAAAAGCACTACACATTTGAAACAAATAACATATATATTACCCTTACACACATAAAATCATGACATTAATAACAAACTAGACTTACTTTGTCATTGCAAACTTAATTGCTAAATTTCGCTTCTGCCTCAAAGAATCAAAGATGATGACTTCACGCTTAGCCATGCATAAGACCAAAAGAACCCAATGATTCCTACATAATAAATTAGACACACATTTGTAAGAGAGTAAATAATATCAACAATTTGCAAAGTTCAAATAAATACAAGTTCAAAGTTTATACTTTTCATGGTATGGGCATAAGATGAACTGCTTAGATTTTTGTTTTTCCATCACATGTATCATGTATAGTAGGATACGATCAGCATCACTATGCAAATCGGTTTCTAAAATCATTTCCGGACACATGAATCCAATGGAAGCCACTTCCTCCGTATCGAGTAAGTCACTCAAGGCCCTACATATATATCATGTAATAACATTATAAATGGTAATAAATAAGTATATGGGAAGAGTGAAATTTGAATATCTTACATCATAAAAACTTGCAAAACTGAAATATTCAGCCAAGCTCCTATGAGAAGTTGATTGACATCTTCACGTTTGATAATGATGTTCTTACTGTCTTCATAACTAAAGGTCCAAGCATCAGCCTTAACCTTAATAGTTTAACCTTCGGGTAATGAAGATAACAAACTATTCAAAGACCCACACTTCTGAGACAAGTTTTCCAAAGCATAATCTATAAGAAAAACTTTTTTTGGATTGGTGTTGGACTCTTTTGTTTCGCGACCACTTTCAACTACTTTCATTTTGTCTTACATGTTTTCTTTGGCCGCTTTGTTGTTACCATTGTTCTTATTTGATATGAATTCCTAATCAATAGCAAAGCAAATCTATTCAACAATTTGCTATATTTTGTATGGCAAACTATATGTAAATTGTTACAAAAATAATTTACCTTGTCATGCATGAATGAAACCAAGTATTTCGGCCATTGGGTAAATGTACCATGAGCATGCTTAAGTTTCTTGATGATTGAAGAAGGAACTGGAACCGAGAATTCTTTGAACTCGTCAAAAAAATCATCAACACTCACCCTCACGTGATCCGGAAGGAGGTTACTATGATGATCAAGGATTAACTCCGGATGATATGTACCTTCAGCTACAATGACTTTCTCAGAGTCATTTTTCAACAATGATAGCCGACAAGGAACCGGTTCCTTATAAAGATAGAAAAAAATCATAATTAAAAAATATAGAAAACTGAGTTACAAAGTTAAAAGTATGTCGCAGTCATAAATCATTAAAAAAAAAGATACAAAATATAAAATAACAAAGTGTTGGATACATGTATGTTTGCAAATGGATCATCACCCACTGATTGGCAACTACTAGGATTTTGTTGAGTCGTCCGGCCTATGTTATTCATTTCTATCATTTCAGTTGGAATTTGAATACCAATCTGTTTAGCAAATAACATAAACTTCTCTTGAACCATGGAATCCATTTTAGAATCCATCTCCTGCATAGTCTCCTCTCGTACCCTCCGGGCTACTCTTGCCTCTAATTCTTCCAGCTCATCATCTCCGAATTCCCTACCCCGTCGGCCACTACGCCTCTTTCCGGATCCCCATACAGCTTTAATGCCAATTCCACTGCCAAATGCTATTGCCCGACCATTACGATCATTTTTCCCAAGGGCACGAGATAAGATATCATCATGCCTATTAGGAACAAAGTTTCCTTCAGCTTGTTGCTTTCTCCAATTATCCTACACAATGACTTCAAGTTAGAAAACTTTGGTTGCAATACATAAACTTAACAAAATATATTCAAAATTGAAATAAAGACTTATTACATATACTTATTATATACTTACAATGGATTCTTTCAGCTCTCTTGTTTTCTCATCCGGCAAATAAGGATTTCCCTTATCATCTTCTATTGATCTTGCTAGAAGCTAAGCATATGTCCTATCCGGCAAACTAGACACAACCGAAGAACAAGATGAAGTACTGGATGCTGAAGATGTCGTGGGAATATACCCTTTTCTACGCCATACAATATTCATTTCACCATATGATTTGGCTCCTAAATGGTGAGGGTATTCGTTGAAAGACTGGCTTTGTCTTGCCTTCTCACTAATTTCCTATTTTCACGAGCATAAATGAAGATTAGTACATAAGAATCCGTTAACAAAGTATTAATAACCCGCATGATCATTGATATTAATACACACAAACCTTAAAATCATCTGTAGTATGCTCCTCCACAAATGTTTTCCACATATCCTCAGATATGAAATCATAGAGTACATACGACATTCTTTTCTCCTTCGGCATATTCCTGGTACATGTGATCCAACCACTGACCAATTTTGTTTTGAAATCTCTCCAAGTTTTATCACAAGTGTGTAGGACCTTTTTTTTCTTGTCTTCATCTTCTTCGATTTGAAACTCTCTCTACGCAAAAAATTAAAAAAATAAAAAAAGTTAGTAAATAATTTCATCATATTCAAATAAATTGTTTTCATCATATTCAAATAATGTCAAAATGATCATATAATAGTATAACATTTAACATATAATAGTGAATATTACCTTAACATCTTCCCACAAAGTGTCTTTTATTCCTTGTGGAACTTGATTCCAATCTTTATACAATATAGACACCTTTGCACGACTTATTTCACCAACATGAATTTTGTATGCTTTTGCCCACTTTCCAATGGGTCGACACAATTCATCCCATTCAAGCACTCTAGGAACCCCAGGTATGGATTTTAGGCCCTTTGAAGGACCTCTTGGCTTTTTTTTCTTCTTTTGAGAGTCGGTTGTTTGTTGCTCTGATTGTGATTGATTGTGTGACTCATCTTCCTCACTTTGCAAAGGCATGGAACGATTATGCAAATCCTCATCCTCCATTATTACTTACCTGAAAAAAAAAGACATAAATATATTAAGACATCGATTTATATCATTTTTAAATTATAAACTTGAACACATAACAATAATAAGCAATTTATGCAATTACTAACAAATATTGGAAAAAAAAATCATAGAATTTATACCTACTTCATTCTTCTCTTTTGCGACATAAAATCCTTCATTATGATCTTTTCGTTTCAACGTTGTGTCAAAATCATCGACTATTGGAAGGATGCTCCAAACGGAAGGTGGTGACTCATTAAATTGCTCATCATATTCTTCCTCGTCCACCACATCTTCAATGCCAAGTATCCTTCTTTTACCTTCTAAAACAACTGACCACTTACAATCAGCTGGGTCAGCCATGTAAAAAACTTATTTTGCTTGTGAAGCTAATATAAATGGATCAGCTAGATGCCCTCGTCGACCAAGATTTACAAGGGTCAAGTTCCCTTGTTCATCTTTTTTTACACCACGGCTACTATCAGCCCACTTACATCGAAATAGAGTAATCTTGAAATTAACATAATCCAGCTCTATTATTTCTTCAATGATTCCATAATAAAATTTCTTCTTATCCACAAGTGTTTTATCATGTGCACTAACATACTCAGATGAAAAACCTACTACTTTAACACCACTGTTTTGCATTGTTGACTTGTCATCTTGTCGGCTAGTGTAAAAAGAATACCCATTGATGTTGTATCCCTCATATGACATGACTTGACATTTATCACCATATGCCAACCATCCCAATGTGTCAGATATATTGTTAGGTGTGGTGGATAGTTGGGACATCACTCGTTCCTTGAACCATGTAACGAATGAACAATTATGCTCCTTTATCAGCTGAAGATCACTTTTGGAAGGATATTTATTTTTAAGAAAAAGCATGTGCTCGTCCAAGTAAGGATGAACCTCACTAAGATTTTGCAACACAAAAAGCTCGGCCTTATTTTTCATTTCAAAGCCCATGGATATCCTTTTCCTGCCAATAGTACCTTGACCTCCAAGCCTCCCATCGTGTCGAGACTTTGGCAACCCAATTTTCTGTGAACGTGCAAGATATTTTGCAACCCATGCTGCCACTTCCTCAGCAACTGTTCGTTGTACAATACTAGCTTCAGGTTTGGCCGGATTCATGACTTTTCCCTTTAAGTCACCCATTTCTCGTTCAAAAGGATACATGTATCTCATACACACTGGTCCACAAAGTTTAATTTCACGTACAAGATGAATAACCAAATGAGGCATCACGTCAAAAAAAGATGGAGGAAAATACATTTCAAATCGACACATTGTCTTAAGTATATCTGCTTGCAAGTCATCTAAAATACTTGGATTTATGACCTTGCTACAGATAGTGTTAAAAAAGACACATAATCTTGTAATTGTATACCTCACTTGAGGTGGAAAAATTCCTCGAATGGCAACTGGTAATAATTGTTGCATCAAGACATGGCAATCATGAGATTTCATGCCACCCAATTTCAAGTTAGACATTGACACAAGTCTACGAAAATTAGAAGAAAATCATTCTCTTAAACATTCTTTCTTTCTTTCCTTTTCTTTTTTAATACAAAATTCCGCATTCACAAGATCTAGAAACACCTAGCCATATTCGAAGTTGCCTTCGCCCTAGACGTGAAAGGTTTTAATTTCTGAGGATTTGGTCCCAAATCTCTATTTCAATTATTTAATTTGATTGTTGATTTATTATTTTCCTTGAAGTTATTAACGTGTGTATTTTGTACGAGGCATCAAAGTAAGTGCTGTAATTGATTAATTGATATTATGATGTAGAAATCATGTTTACATTGTTATTATGATATTCCTAGTATCATGTCTATGGTAATTTTAATATTAAATATGATTGTTACGATGCTTCCTATGTTCTTCCTAATATTTATGATTGCTAGTATCATGTTAGGGTTAAAGATTTGATTTTTATTGCTTTGTGACATGCTAGGATTTGTTATTAATCTTGTTAGTATCATGCCTAGGATCTTGCTATTTTTATTATGCTTTAACATGATTATGATTATTATTATTTTGATGATGATTATTATCATGATATTGATTATTTATTATGTTGCTTGATTATATTTTATATTTATTGCTTGATCAGCTTTATTGCATGTTTAAAGGGAATTTATACTTGTAATCATGCTTAATAAGATATTAATAATCTTGTTAGGTTAACTTTGATTATAATTTCAAGTGATCGCCAATAATAGTTTTGTTTGTGCATTATATTCAACCAACATAGATTAAACAGGTTTAGGGTTAATTCTATTAATTGCATGTTAGTCAGAAAGCGCACATGAATACGATCAGAATAAAGTAGAGGCCTATTATTAGGGCAGGTTCAATCTCTTTTAGGTTGGATTTGTACCTTCATCCCCGAACCCTTATTTGGTTCTAGACCTTATGGAGTTGACGATCTCTTGGATCGTTAAGGGGTGTAACCTTCACCTCGTGAACGGTTTACAAGTTTCTTAAAAACTTGTTGGCGACTCTTTTGCTCTATCTTCTTCCCTTTTGGACGCCACCGTACTTTAGTGTATGATCATAGTGGGGTTCAAGCTAGTGGTATTTAAAGGCTTGAAATTATTCCCTACATTTTTTGGCGACTCCACTGGGGAGGATTTCTATTTTAATTCCTGAATTTGTTTCGGCAATGATTTAGAATGAGTGGATGAGACTCTAAAAGTTCTAAGTATTTCATGTGCGTAATTTTGATTAACATTATTGTCATATGCATAAAAAAGATCTCATTGGAAAGACCATCCGTAATGAGTTAAAAACATAGGATTTTACACGTAGAAAATTACAGAAACGTCTTTCACAACTAGGACTGAAATAACACTGCGCGAAACTGGAAAATTTTATTGAGCACAGAAAGCTGCTGAGGCATGTGGGAAGTAGCGTCAGGGGCCAGAGCTTGGCGCCAGACTTTTAGCTGTAGCGCCAGACGCCAGCATTGGCGCCAGGCGCTACAGTTAAAAACTGACGCCAGTCTCTGATTGCTGGCGCCAATTTCCCCCCAATACTGAGCCAGAAATACGCGTTCTAATTTCGACCGGTTTTTCGTATTGTTTGCTCGATCCTACTTCCTGATTGAATTTTTTCTTACTTTTCTGAAACCCATATGTGCTCTACATATGGACATAACCCTCTGGGAATTCATGCTCCATCTACCCGATTGAATGCTCCGTGCAACAAAGGGTACATCCAAGATGTTGAATTCACCAAACCATGGAAGCGAGTTTTTTCTAAAGCCTGCGGTGTCCCATCCACTCGCGCCAACCCTTCACGGTTAGGCTTCCGCGCGGTGCATCCGGACAATTAACTATGGACCCTCTTTGACTAAACCATATCCCGAACTTTAGAGAACTAGAGCCATGGTTAAGTTGCGAACGCATTGCATCATATTGTGCCTACTTGACTAATTGTGCATCATTTGTTGTGCATATATATGTTTCTCTTAACCGTTTGTTGACTTGTGTTGAGACTAAATAAATTAATGACTTAAAGAACTTTGCCTAATTAATTAATTAATTATTTAATTTGAGTCGGTAAAGTCTAATATTTTAATCGGAATTGACCTAGTACGACTTTAGGCATACCCCACTTGACTAATACCACCGAAAACAGTCCCAGACCGAAGCTCCACCATTGGCGCCAAGGTCTGAGCTGTAGCGCCACACTATGGAGTGTAGCGCCTGACGACAGTTCTGTCGCCTGGCGCCAAGCTCCACAGTGTGACGCCAATCCTGTCGCTTGGCCGACAGTTCGGATTATTGGTCGAGTCATCACCTAGGGTCTAATTAACTAGTTTGCTAATTAATTCGGTTAATTTTCACTGTGAATAACACCTTGTCGAGTCATCAATCGAGTCTCAGTCACATAGTCTAGCCACATGATCATGACACGAGTCTTAGTCACATAGTCTAGCCACATGGTCATGACACGAGTCTCAACATGTCACATACACTCACTAGTCTTAGCACACACTTTGAGTATATGTCACCATGACCATGTCTTAGGTCCATGCATGAGTCGGTCTTTCCGTCATTTGATTTGGGGGGTACATTCTATTCCTAATTATTCATATCCCTCCATCTAAATCTTCTTCACATTCTATTCCAATCTTTCTTCACTTCCTCCATCCATTGCATGTTGAATAAAGTTTAAGTCAAATAATTAACAATAAGTATCCCCAAATTCCCTTTCCACAGTACTTGGTCAAGGAGGGAAGGGCGGTTAATCAAGGACAACCTCTTTATTCAAGTCTCGCTTTTTGATAAACCGATTCGTCAAAAGAGGAAGGCTAAGAAGATAATGGCAACTCAAGAAGAAGTCAATGATCTTAAGAACCAACTAGCTACTGTGACTGAGACATTGAAGCTTCTCGCGCTTAGGATCGATGATCCCGTGAAGCAACAACAAATGGACCTCATGCAAGAGAGTTTAAGCAAGTTGTCTAGTGACTACAAGTTTCAAGAGCTTACATCACAAGGGGTCTCGGTGGATAAAGATCTTCTTCCGCAGAAGTTCAATGCCAACGACATCCCAAAATTCAAGGCAACGGATAATCCTTATTTTCATCTAAGAGCTTTCGAAACCATAATGAGTATTAAGGGTATCGATAAAAAGGTTTTTCCCTCTCTGTTCTCACTATCTCTTGAAACCGTTTGCCAACAATGGTACTTCTCCCTTGACAAGGAGAAAATCTCTACCTGGGAGTCGATAGTAAACGCTTTCGTTGACAGATACAAGCGCAATATCCAAGTTGAAACCGATCATAGACAACTTGAGATGCTAAGACAAAAAGAGAATGAAGGCTTTACTTCTTTCTTTAATAAATGGAGGGAAACTTTCGCTAAGATGATTGAGGTCCCCACCGAAAAGGAGTCTGTGAGGATGTTTATCAAGAATCTCCAAGAAAAGTATTCAAAGCACTTAAAATATCAACACAACTTGAATACCTTCAAGGCCGTTTATGACATCGGAATTGAAATCGAAGACGACCTTGCAAAGAAAAAAGCTACTGACAATAGTAACCACGGTGGCTGGAAAGGAAAGAAGAGCGACAATCCTTCTTCTTCCGAAAACGCTCACTCTAGTAATAATGTTAGTACCTTTGACCATAATGATGTATTAGCCATAAACAATCAAGGATCTAAAAGGAAACCCAGGCGACAGTTCACACCCATTAGAATGACCTACGATGCTGCTTTCGATCGTCTCTATGATCGAGGGTTAATCAAACCTATTGGCCCTACCGAGGATCCAACACCAAAAAATCGATCTTCGATATGGAATCCAAACTCCTATTGCAAGTACCATCGAGGAAACAAT